TTATTTCTGTACATAATTTATTTTAAATTGATGCGGCAGAGCTCTAATTTTAACCTGCTTCGTCTGTGATAAGGAATATTGTTGAAATAGATAAGGCACTAACTTGCCCATCGTTAAACATTTAGATTTTTTATATTCTTTTTCGAAATATTCCCTGCTGTTAAGAAGTTAATTAATATCATCAACGATCGTTTAAAAAACTTTTCAACAGGCGTTATATTCTTATTTAGATCTTTATTGCTATGTAATTAAACAGACTTGAATCATTATCTGTTGTGAATAAAATACAAACCAATTTTAATATCTCCTTTAAACGGCTTATTTCACACTTAGTTATTGCAATTTTCAACCTGATACTTATAAGCTAATGGAAATATTTGCTGAAGTGGCATAGATAGGTTCGATATATTCAAAGTTTATTTAGATTTCAATTGATAATTTTTGTAATTAACGAAATAATTGCTTGTTCATAATATTAAAAACGTGTCTGTAACATGTCTTGCATCTCTCTTTCTTCAGAAAGAAAAGACAAACGAAAAATATTATACTAAGCTAAAATATCGATTATTAACTTTTTACGTAAGTATATAATGTTTACACGATGCAAATACGTAATTTAGTTCTAGTTCCGAATGTTCTTAACATGGGGAATGGTCTAGGAAAACTTGCCTTCGACAGATAGTAAAAAAATGCGATTAATAATCGTGTAACATAAATTATTTTTAGAATAATTACATCATAAAATTTTTGTGATTATTAATTATCGAAATATGTATATTGAAAACTTCCTGTATATCACATTTAGGTATCACACAATTCAAATTTAATTTGATTGTGCAATTTTCTGCCTTTAATCTATTTTTAGAACATCAAACTTTTAAACGATTATCGTTATTTTTTCAAATCGAATCTTAAAATTAACCAAAAAGTGCCGAAGGCAGGTTTTCCTAGACCACACCTCACATTCCGACCTATCTTTCCGGACGATCATCCGATCCCAACCTGGTACGTATCGTACGTACACATTTTCTGGGTGCACCACAGAAATTTATCCGGATCATCGTTATGTGTTTCACAATCAAAAAAAATTTGGAATCGGGTCGGAAAATTATTAATAATTTCTAGCAAAATCTACAAAGCTCACGAAAAAAATACGCAAGGATTATGCTACGATTCTAGCACTTTGTAGAGATAATTTCTTAAAAATCAAACTTATGAAAAAAGTATAAAACATGTTGATTTTTGGGCTTGTAAAAAAAAATAAAATAAAATCAAAGCTTATAACGCAAATTGATAATAAGCATTTTGAAAAATTAAAAATCTTAATTCAATTTTTCAACCTTCAATTTATTACAATTTTCAACCTTCAATTTATTACAATTTTCAACCTTCAGTATTAAATAAATATTTAATATTAAATACAATTATTTTCTTCAATATTAAATACAATTATTTAGTCTTAACATTAAAAAAACAAAAAATGTTTTCATATCTAATAGACACCGATTACCCATACGATCAAAATCCCTATTTTAATAATCGTCGTCGTCGTTACTATAATCCTCATCAATCCTACGCATACTCGTTTCCATGTTACACACATCCTCTGCCGTTTTCAAGCTTCCACACTCCTCAAAATCGACATTTTCGTGAGTCATACTATGACCCAGAAAATATAACCAATTTCGTCTCCGGTCTTAACCAAAATCATGAAGAAAAAAACCACAACGATAAGGAGCAAAAAAGAAATGGATATAGAAGAATAAAAATTTTCGGTCCTGATGATGAACCAGAGAATAAACATGAAAATGAACATGAGAATAAACATAAGAATAATAATACCTTCACCAAACAACAGAATAATAATGCTTTCACCAAACAACAGAATAATAATGCTTTCACCAAACAACGAAATAATAATACTTTCACCAAACAA